GGGCAGGGCAGGGGCAGGGCAGGGGCAGGAGCAGGAGGAGGAGATGCAGAGAATAAATGGATTACTATTATGTGGCGCCCTCCAGGGCTCTGCCCTCCTCAACTTGCTTGTGTGGCTGCAGAAAACCGTTTCCCCTTCCTTCCTCCCCTGTAACAGGCACCTCAGAGCGGAAAGTTTAGAATTTTGTTGTTTTCTTTAGAGACATGTGGCTTCTCTAAACGTCCTCAGGCCTAGGGCATACCCAGCTCCCCACCCCTCCTAGGCCAGAGGAAGGGATCGAATCTGCAGGCACAGCCTTCGTCCCTTAGGCGGCATTAGGAAAGAATGGGGACCAGCAATGGGGTCTGGGGCTGAGGGGCTCAGGGGGCACTCTGGGTGCAGGACCCAGCGGCAGTGCAGTTAATCACAGGGGCTGACTTGTTGGCTGAGCGGCGGCAGCCCTGGCCTGGTGGTTGTGTGTGTGCATGTGCGTGCACGTGTGTGCTTGCATGTGTGCATGTGTGTGTGCTTGAGTGTGCATGGATGTGTTTACATGTGTGTGTCGGGCAGCCGGGCTGAGGAGGGGCAGACCTGCGAACGACTCCAGGAGCAGGGGCAAGCTGTGACACTGCCTTCAGGGACATGGGATGGGCGGGGGGCCTGTCCACTCTCCTGACAGGGGAGCCGGAAGTACCCTTCACAGGAGCTTGTGGCCCTGGGTCCCCAAGGGGCATGGACAGGCTTTGCTGAGCAGCTGGGAAGCTATGGAGTCGGTGAGTATGTTGCACAGAAGTCGCCCGATAGGGAGCGGGGCCCCTTACAAATAAGCACTAAGTCTGGCCGAGAAAATAACTGACGTCAACGAATGGAGCCCTGACTTTTAGAAAAATTAGGCATCAAGTGGAATTCTAAAGGAAAGTGCAACACGGGAAGAACGAGCGCTCAGTAAATTATTATTTTTTGCGGTAGTGAGGACTGAACCCACGGCCTCCGCACTGAACTACATCCCAGTGTTTATTTTTTATTTTGAGACAGTGTCTCAATAAATTGCTTGGTTGCTCCAGCTGGGCTCGAGCTTGTGATCCTCCTGCCTCAGCCTCCCAGAGTGCGGTGCTTGTAGGCATGGAGCAGGATTCCCAGCCTAATTCTTCTTTTCGAAAGCCTGGAAAACACGTGGCCCGTCTTGCGGAGGAAGAGCTGGCAGAGCAGGAGACCAGCTCAGTGTCCCCAAGCAGTCGGAACAGGCCTGGTACTTCCAGCCGCGGCACCTTGGACGCGCAGCGACCCTCTGCGCATGCTCAGCGCGGCTGCGCCGGGGCGACCCGCCCATGTTCAGGGCGGCGTCCCTTCTTCCCTACAGAGGGGAGCAGCAGGCGCGCTGCGCGGGCGGGGCGTGAAAGCTCCGCCCCCACTCTCATCGCCCCGCCCCCCCGGGCCCAAAACCACTGCGTCTGCGCCGCCGCCGTGTCGCTCCGTCGGGGTGGCGAGCACGAGCGCGTGCGCGCGCCCAAATCGCGCCGCGCGCAGAACCCCGCCCGAACCGCCCACTTCTCCGAGCCCGCGCCGCCTCGCCATGGAGCTGCCCGGGAGCCTGTGCAAGAAGGCGAAGCTGGGCCACGGCGCGCAGAGCTGGGTGAGCGGCGGCCCGCGGAGGGCTCCCTTCCCGGGGGGCTGCGCGCCGGGCGCCCTCCCAGACCTCTAATTTAATTCATTTTATTTTGAGACGCGGGTCACGCTTAGTTGCCCGGGCTGGGCTCGAACTTGCTATCCTCCTGTCTCAGCCTCTGAGAGTGCTGGGATGACAGGCGTGCACCACCGCGCTTGGCAAAAAACACAGTTAAATTAATGAATTAATTGATGTATTATTTATTTACTTGTGATGCTGGGGATGGAGCCAGGGCCTCTCCGTAGGCCAGCTCATCCTCCTGGTTTTGGAGGTGGGCGGGCGCAGCCTGCTCGCTGCCGTTTTGAGCCGCGCTGTGCTCAGCACCGGTTCCCCCTCGCAGGCGGGGCCGGATCCCCGCTGCCCGCTCGGACCGACATCGCGTTGAGCCTGCGCTCGCCCCTAAGTCCCCGCAGCCGTGCAGATCGCCCCTCGCGCTGGCCCGCAGCTGTTGCAGGTGGAGGCTCCGTTGCAGGGCCGCGGTCCCCGTCTGTGGCTGGGGTAGAACTCCCCGTCCCCGGGGAGGGTGGCGGCGGGCAGGTTGGGGAGGACCCTGCGAGCGGCTGCTCCATCCGCAGGCCGTGCCCACCCGAGCCCGGTTCCTGGCAGACCCGGAGCTGGTCCTGCTCCTTCGCACAGTGCACGGCGGGGCACTCGGTCACTTCCCGCATACTGCCGTAGCGCGTTTATCTGTGATGCCGTTTGCAAGACTAGTGTGTGCTCTCCCTAGAGACCTGACCGGAGCTGGAGCTGGAAATCGGGGGACCCTGTGCCAAGCTGGGGCTGTGATCTCAGCCAGGCGATGAGGGTGTCCGCGAGTCAGTGTAGGACCGACTCTCACTGCAGTTTGGAAGAGAGGTTAGTTGGGCCTGGGTGTTGTGGAGGCAGAGAATTTTGAGGTGCAGCGGCGGGGTGCATGCATGAGTGCTGGAGGAGGAATTGTTTTCCTGACTGCTGTGGGGTACCTGGGGTGCAGGTGGGTGCAGCAGGTAGGGCCCCGCTGGGGTGTGCAGGTGTGAATGTTTCGCCTCAGAGTTAGGACTTGATTCTGATTATGAAAGATCGGGTTAGGATTCTGAATTTTCTGAGCCTTGTACATTTTTTGTCTTCCTACTTCTCACAGACTTAAATCAACTGACCAGGGACCAGATGTCCTTGGACCAGGAAGGTTGGAATCAGAGAAAGTGGTGGATGAGTTACAGATTGGCGGTCCCTCTGGCCATGATCACCGTCCAGAGTCCAGTCCCTGTGGGTTGCTCATCCCAGGGCGCAGGCCACAGGTTGGCTTGGTGGCCGTGGGGACAGGAGGCGCTAAGGAAGGAAGGACAGATGGCAGGATGACAAGGGCATGCATCTTACAGATAGTGTTGGAGTTTTGATCCTAGGCAGCGGGGAGACAGGTTGCAATGTTTTACTTATGTTAATGGTTGAATTTTTGCAACATTTCCGGGATGGACGCAGTAGTTAAAGCACGGACCCAGGAGGTAATGACTGGCTTCACATCCAAGCTGCACTGTTTGTGATCATGTAACCTTTGGCCGTCACTTTAGTTCTGTCTGCCTTCTGCGCGTTTATAACCCCACAGCCTGGCCGAGATACTGTGAAGATGGAAGGAGTTAGCTATCAGCCTCTTTATTACATTTAGTGTCTCTGTTTTACTGAGGGAAGTGCCACACAGCTGGTTATTGGCAGGGCAAATTGTAAGCATGTTGCATTTAAAAAAAATACTTTATTTTTATTAGTCCCCACATGCAGTACATAGTGGTTACTCCCTCACAGGGAGTTGGTGCGTGTACATAGCACATCTTCATTCTTTTGAATTCATTTTTGTCTTTTTGGTACCAGGAATTGAACTCACAACCTCGTGCTTGCCAGGCAGGTGCTGTGCCGCTGAGCTATATCCCCAGCCCTGTCTTCATTCTTTTTACTTTCCCCTCCCTTGCCTGCATCTCCTGGTTCCCTTCCTGTTTACACACAGATCTCTCTCACTGTTTCCCACTCTTTCCTTTTGCTGTCTGTTTAAAAGCATGTTGCGTTTGAGGGACGGCCTTCGTAGAGTGTCTGTAAGAACAGTCCTGTCCAATAGAAGTGTGAGCCACCTATGTATGTAACTTGTATTTTCTAGAGGCCACATTATAAAAATAAAAAAAAAACAGGTGAGATAGATTTCAGTAATATTTTGTATTTAGCTTAATTTATCCAGAATGCTACCATTTCAGTACAAATGCTTTTTCAATGTAAATATAAGCTCCGTACTATTTATAAAATGACTAATATGCTACTCTATCTTTTTTTTGTACCTTCAAATCCGGAGTGTGTCTCAGACTTAACACACACCATTCAGAGACTCAGGAGGGACACACGGACGCTACAGTTTCAGAGATGAGTTGGGCTGAGGTCAGAAGTCGGGCTTGGATGGTGAAACTCGAGTTGGACAATACAGAGCATTGCTGCCCGAGGTGAAGTACTAAGCTTGGGGTGATACTTCCTGTTATGGAGCAAGTACAGGGCGGGAGTGGCTTCACAGGAGACAGCAGGCCATGGCGTCACGGCCCTGGGACTGTTCTCAGTTGTTCAGGAAGGTTTCTCCCTGTGCCTGTGAGGGCGGTGAAGAAGAAAATCCAACAGGCTCCTTGCTTGGTCGTGTCTGATGTCCTGAGTGCTGTTCCCTGTGGTTGGGTCTTTCTCCAGGGGGACAGTTTCCATGTGTCCATCCAGCTGAGGGAAGCTGGGGCTCTCAGCTAAGACTCGGGTGTCGTTGACCCACTTTGTATTGAATCCTGTTCGGCCCAGTCCCCTGCTTCAACTCCCTGCTGTGGGTTTGGGCCCGGCTTCCCACAGGAGATGCTGGGGCCCTTGTGACTCTCCGTGTTGCTCTGGCTGGGTGATCTGATGCCTTCCTTCCTCCAGCCATCCGCGGCCGAATCCTGCAGCTCTCAGGCTGTTTCCTTAATGCAGGCTACTTGTGGCCCTGCTGTGCCCACGCCCACCACTCGCAGGCTGCATTTCTGCGCGCCTCTGTCGTGCCGCGCTGCCCTGTGTTTTCACAGGATCACGGTCACACTTCATTGCAGTGTTTTGCTTCTACACTGAGCTGATCCCACTGGATGGGCTGGGGGTGGGTGCCAGGTGGCTTGGGTGCTTCTGATATTGAAGATCCCTAGGTAACATATTAATATCTTAGCCTAGCTCAGCTTGCATGGCAGATTCACATTACATTTTGTCACATACCATGCGGGTGACCTTGGACGTGTCCCCTTAACGCCTTTGTGCTTTGGGGCCCTTCTCTGTGTATTAGTGGGCTTTCCAGAAGCAACTTTCTGGCGGGGCTGATACTGCGCGCCTCCTAGGGTGATAGGGAGGTTTAATAAATTAATACATTTAAAGCGCTGTGGTTCCTTCTGCCAATTCTGCCTTTCCCAAACAATTTGCCCACTTATACCAGTGGTGGCGAACCTTTCAGAGCTTTCAATAATGCATACAGCCAGCTGCGGCACATGTACTGTAGGTTCGCCACCACTGCCTTACTCGCTGGCTGCCCTTTCTGGAAAGTCAATGGCCCATTCTGGGTTTGAGGAGGACTGGGACAGGGTGAGACTGAAGCAGGCCGGGGAAGCTGGAATGCAAGGAGTGTCGGGCTGGGGTGGTCAGAGGCAGTGTTGAGCTTCTGTCCTTGAGCGCCTGGGAGATCCTGACACTAAGAAGATGAGTGTGTATGTATTTTTGGTGGACTCTGTATTTTCTGCTTGTGGTTGTTTGGGCCTGCAGTGGTGGAAGCTTGGATACAAAAGCTGGCTATCACTAGTTCAGATGAAGCCGTCACTTTTCTTTTTGACACTCACGCCGTGGTAAGGAGATTACTTCAGACACTTGTAGGAACTGCTTTCCTCCGCACAAGGCTGTTGCGGTGGGCACAGGGATGGTGGTGGTGTGCAGTAGAGGACCCAAACACAGCAAGCACGGTGGGCAGTGAGCTGCAGGGCTGAGGGCAGAGGCTGCCAGGTGGCCTTGTGGTGGGCTGCACCAGGCAGCAGGCCGCCCGGGGCCTACAGGGCCAGCATTCGGGCTGGGGTTGGTGACGGGGATTCTGGCTGAAACGGGGTCAGGGTGCCCAGGGCTCCATGCTGTGTGGTGGGGTTGGCTGGGCAGTGGTGGTGGTCCTTGTCAGCGCTGGTCAGCTTGTGGTATCCTTCCCTGACCCGCTCCTGACCCACAGCAGCTGGTGGAGGAGTAGCAGTGCAAGGTCATATGTGGACTCCAGTTCCCAAGGCAGGTGGACGTGGACACAGCTGCAGCCATGTCTGTCCTGTCAGCTTTCTGGCGTTTGGCTCCATCCCCACGGTGGCATAAGCTTGCAGCTCAGTGGCTGTGAGTTCACGCATCGCGGTGCAGCCCACTGACCAGTGTTGCACTCCAGAGCCACCTGTCCCATGGTGGCCGGCCTCCGGCTCTGCCTCCACCCTCCCCAGCCCCAGCTGTGGCTCCTGTCCTTGTCTCTCACCTTGTGGATGTTCCCACAAACGGAACAGTGCAGGGTGTGGGCAGGAGTTGCTAGAATGCTTAGAAGATGCAGATCAGAAATGTAAGTGGTCATGTAGCCTGGTGACAGGACTGATTGTGAATTATTGCTCATTGTAGAAAGAATTAAATGCATTCATTGTCCCAGTTTTGCTGGGCTGAAGATTCCAGTGTCAATCATCCTGCCTTTTACAAGCTGGAAGGAAAAGCAGACCATCTTTTAGGGTACATGCCTTGCATTTAACTTTTATGGAACCTTGACTAGGAACCAGAACAAAGATTAGACATTGTAGAAAATACCAAGAGTTACACGTCATGGTCTTTGACTCGCCCAAGGAAATAAATATACATGTATGTCCAGAAAGATTACAAGTATTAAATGATCCACAAATAACACAGATGATGTGGGCAGCAATGCTGAGGACCTCCTGGTGTTCACACTGGCACCAAGCTAGTAGATATTTCTAGAAAACATTCTCTGTGGTTGGAAACAACCAGCCTGGTTTTTTTTCTGCAGACAGATACCAGGCCATTGAAGACTCTGAGAACAGAACTTTAGGCTTGGAAGGAAATGACTCACTCTTGGCCCGGAGTGGGTTGCTCATGTCTTATTTCTTAGCAGAATTCTGGGCAGAATGCGGCTGGAATGTGTGTGGAAGAAGAAGAAAGGGGAGGGAGAGATTGCATTAAGTTCTTCAAATTTAGGCAGAATCCCACCACCTTACAACTCTAGTAGTTTTGAAGTGTTGACTGACCCTGAAAATCCAGAGCTAGGAGAATGAGGCAGTCGCTTGTTTTAAAAAAAGTTTTATTTTCAATGTCATGGAACATTGGTACTTATTTATGGAGTGCAGAGGAGTAATTGGATCCCTGTATCCGATTGTTGTGACTCACATTTCTTTCCGCTTGGAGACTGCGTTTCTACCTGGTGGGACCCTGCAGTTTCCTCTCCTTAGTTATTTTGGAATGCAGCATTCATTGCCCAGACTCCAGTCCCAGTGTGTGCTAGAGCTATAGAATGCTTCTGTCCTAGAGGGAGCTTTGGCACTGACAATCCACCCTCATCCTCCTCTTCCTAGCTGCTAGGAACCTCGCGTCTCCACTTTCATGTTGTTTTTAGCTTCCGCAAATGAGTGAAAACATGCAGTATTTCTCTTTGTGCTCCTGCTTGGTTCTGTTGATGTAATGTCCTGTAGTTATCCATGTTACCACAAGTGACAGAATTTCATCCTTTTTATGACTGACTATTTTATTGTGTGTATATATGCACACGCAGGTGTACATATAGACACAACCCTTTTTAATATTTATTCTTTCATTAGTGTATGTTTGCAGTACAT